CTGCCCTCCCCTTGCTGAGAAGACGGTCATGCAGATGGCCAGGGTGAAGTGGACACGGCACGCAGACCCTCACTGTGGCACTGCATTAACTCTGAAGCTGCCAGCTTGTACGATTCCTGCCCCAGCGTCCGAGTGTCTCCACAGGCCTTGTTCCTTTCCAGGGCAGTGGTATTCCAAGTCCAGAACGCAGATACAGGGGTGCTCACTGCCAGTGCCCACACTGCTGGCCCTCGGCAACCCTGTGCTGTCTGAACAGTTCACTCAGACATTGTGGTCCAGCTGGCCACCCTCACCTGGTGGAGAAGGGAGAGAGGATTCAGCCGAGAGACAGGAGGCAGGACAGTGACCCAGGAAGACTGAGATCACTGTCTGTCTGTCTGTCTGTACTGGTACTGGGGCTTGAACTAAGGGCCTGGACAATATCCCTGAGCTTTTTTTTGCTTAAGACTGGGCACTTTGGAACCACACGTCCACTTCTTGCTCTTGGGTGGTTAATTGGAGAAAAGATTCTCATCAACTCTCCTGCCTGGGCTGGCTTGGAACTGCAAAGATCTCAGATCTCAGCCTCCTGAGTAGCTAGGATTGCAGGTGTGAACCACCCATGCCCCACTTAAACTTGCTTTCTAACAATCCACTTTCCTGGAAACTAATCCATCCCTGTCCCGAGGAGACCTGCATCACTCCCTGGACAGCTCTATTCCCTCCCCAGGGCAGGACCCCAGACACCTGCCACTAGGCCCCACCTCTTGGAGGTCATGCCCCCGCCTCACTGCCCACACAGAGGCCCAAACCACAGCCACACCACAGCACCCTGGGTCAGTGCCTCCAGGTCTCTGCAGTTACCAAAGCTAGGAAACCACGTGGGTTGTGTGTATCTGTGTCGGTGTGTCTGTGTTTATGTGTTTATTGTATCTGTGTTTGTCTGTGTCTGTGTGTGTCTATGTATATGTATTCTATGTGTATGTGTGTCTGTGTCTGTATGTGTTCTATGTGTGTGTGTGTCTGTGTATATGTGTTTATGTGTGTCTGTCTGTGTGTATGTCTATGTGTATCTGTGTGTATTTCTGTGTGACTGTGTGTATCTGTGTCTGGGTGTGTGTGTCTGTGCATGTCTGTGTGTCTGTATCCAGGTGTATGTGTCTGGGTGCTTGTCTGGGTGTGTGTCTGGGTGTGTGTGACTGTGTGTCTGTGTCTATGTGTGTGCCTGTGTGTGCCTATGTGTCTGTGTCTGGGTGTCTGTGTCTGTGTGTCTGTGTGTGTATATGTGTGTGTGTGGCTGTGTGTGTCTGGGTGTCTGTGTCTGGGTGTATGTGTGTCTGGGTGTCTATCTGGGTGTCTGTGTCTGGGTGTATGTGTGTCTGGGTGTCTATCTGGGTGTATGTGTCTGGGTGTATGTGTGTGTGTGTGTGTGTGGCTGTGTGTGTGTCTGGGTGTGTCTGGGTGTCTGTGTCTGGGTGTATGTGTGTCTGGGTGTCTATCTGGTGTATGTGTCTGGGTGTATGTGTGTGTGTGTGTGTGTGTGGCTGTGTGTGTGTGTCTGGGTGTGTCTGGGTGTCTGTGTCTGGGTGTATGTGTGTCTGGGTGTCTATCTGGTGTATGTGTCTGGGTGTGTCTGTGGCTATGTGTGTGGCTGTGTGAGCGTCCCTGGGCTTGAACTCCACCTGGGCACAGACTGAGCTTTTTTGCTCGAGGCTAGTGCTTTACCATTTGAGTCACAGCTCCACTTCCAGCTTCTTGGTGGTTAATTGGAGGTAGAGGCTCAGGGCTCTGGGCCAAGGTGGAGATGAACGAGGAGAGCTAGAGACCTCCTGAGTGTCTGGAGCGATGCTGGTAAACTTGGAAATCACTGAATGTGAGTTTCCCCGATGTCACTCCCTGCCTTCCCTCCGCCCTGATCCCTCCGGGCCTTTAGAGCCAGCACAGCTGTGGGCAGTGGGGAGCTGGTGACGTCCTCCAGCAGGGCTGCAGGGGTCTGGGCGGAGCCACTGGCCTCCCCAGGGCCCGGCGGGTGCCTGGGTCTGCCCCTCCTCAGAGCTTAGAGGCCTTGTCAGCCTCGCCAGAGACCAAGGCCGTGTGCCATCTGGCACAAAAGGAGCCGACGTGAACACAGAGCCCTGCCCCCCATCACCCATCCCTCCCAGTGGAGACCCTCCCATGGCACTGGGCACTGGGCACTGGGGGGGGAGGTTCCAGCTAAGGTCCAGAGCTCCTCCCTGGTCTCAAGGGTCCAGCCACCCAGCAGCTCCCAGAAGCTCCCCCTGAGCATGTACCTGCTCAGTTCTCAGCTTTGGGGGACCCCAGGGCCCTCAAGAGTGGGGCACCTCCTGCTCCTGGCAGATCCAGCCCCTCGGGATGCCCAAGCACTGCTGGGGGCCCATAGAGACTAGAAACCTGGGCTTCCCCGCCGCCACCATGACCTCACCCGTCCTCCGGGCTCACTGACCCCGCCTGACCTCAGGGCCCCACACCCCGGTCACCTCCATACCCCCCCCATCCCTTCCTTCCTCCCCATCTCTCCACCAGGAATGCAGCCGTTACCTTGCGTTCTGAGGGGGACAGCAGAGCCCACAGGACTGTGCAGAGCGGTGAAGCCCAGCCTCCAGCCCCTGGATCCCCAAAGGATGGGCCTGGGAGAAGCAGAGCTGAGCATCTGCTGAGAGGAGACGCAGGGGTCTGGGCCCTGGAGGCAGGTCCTGCGGAGGGAGGCCTAGGCCTGCAGCCTTTCTGCCTGGGGTGGGCAGCATGGGGTCAGGAGGTCTGAGAAGAGCAGGAAGGCCCAAGAGCTAGGAGGGTGGCCAGAGTGAGGGAATTCATGACCCTGGCAAGTCCTGGGGTGCACAGGACTGTGGGGCTCAGCCCTGGCCTCCCCCTCCTCTCTCACTGCCTCTTTCTGAGTATAGGTTCTTAGGAAAAGGTGCTTGGCCTGGGAAAGACCCCTCCTCGTGCCCGGGGAGCCTTCCCCAGCCCGTCCAGGGGAGGCTCTGAACCCTGCTGGAGAGAAGGCGCTTTCCTTGCCGGAATGAGAGGCGAGCCGCAGGGAAAGGAGGGCACCCGCGCGGGGAGCTGGGTGCCAGGCCGGCCGTCTGTCCCGGCTGCCCCAAGCCCCACTCTCACGGAGCAGACCAGACCCCTTCTTCAAATGCCGCGCTGCGCTTGCACCCCAGCCGCCCCCCGGAGCCTTAGAATGTCAGGATAGACACCACGTGTCCCCTGAGGCCACCACGGGGGTCTGGAGCCCAGCAGGACACCCCACAGGGCCCACAGTCCCTGCTCGGCCTGGTGCCAGCACTGCCCCATCCCCTGACCCTCCCCACCCAGCCACCTGCTGCCCAGCCGGAGGGCGTGTGAGTAGCCAGACAGATACAGCCAGAACGGAACTCTGCACCCAGAAAGGGCACCGCGACACCACATTGGCCCCCACGAGGGAGGCCCCGAGGACCAGCCGTGGCCCCGGGACAGCCCCAGAGCTGGGGGCCAGGCAGGCCAGGCCCAGGGCACAGGGGGCTCCCGCAATGATGAGGAGGGACCCGGCCATCCAGAGAGACCCAGGGGGAAGCTCCGGCTGCAAAGGAGCTGGCAAACCTGGGGACTCAGGGAGGCGTGCCCCTCCCCTGGGAGGACACCAGGACACTGGCGGCGGGTGTGGGCCCCCAGCTGCATAAGCGGCGGTGCCGTGGGGTGAAGGGGACTCCCCTCCCTGCGTGCGAGGCCATCAGAATTGAGGCCTGGGCCCGCGCGTGGCCATCAGCCCTGGTCTGGACACTCATCCACTTCTGCACGTGTGTCAGGCCAGACCCTGAAGCTTTTCCTGCGGGGCGGAGGGAACAGTGTGTCCTAGTGTGGAAGGTAGCGCTTGCTCTGAGTCCTGAGCCGGCAGCTGGCGGGCACCTCCGTCAGGCCGCGGGTATGACCGGTGAGGCCAGGTGCATCGTGACACTGCCCCCTAGAACTGAGGATCCGCCAGACCAAGTCTCACTTGTCCAAGGCAGAGGCTGCTCCCTGTCCCCAGTTCCACAGCGCTGCTCTGGGCCCAGACCCTGCTGTCCTGGTCAAGGGTCCTACAGGAAGCAGCTGGAGCCATGAAGTGGGCTCCCGGCCTGAGAGGGCGGGGCTGGCAGGAGGGAACCATGGCTGGGGACGCAACCTTGGCTTCCAGGACTGGGAGAGGCGGCAGGCAGGTACCCGGAGGCCATGCAGAAAGTCGGCTGAAGAGGACCTCGGGGGACACAGTGCACTGTGTGGCTGAGGTCTCCAAGAAGTATTGTCCCAGAGGCCAGGGGCTGCCTTGACCCTCCATAAGCAGCCCCGCTGCTGACCTCACGCTGACCCCGGGCTCTGATCCAGCACCTCGCTCCCCCACTCTGCCTGTTGGGGAGGGGGCTCCCTCCCCAAGGGCTTGGGTGTCAGTGTCCTCCAGGAGGGGGCTGGGGGTCCAGCTGTCAATGAACAGGCGGCCAGACGCTGGGCTGATGGCTTTCCCAGCCTTCCGCCAGGCAGAAGCTGGAGCCCGTCCCAGAAGGCTCCCCTCCCCAGGACACAGGAGATGATGTGGGAGGGAGACAAACAGCCAGAGGACAAGGGGGAGGGCAAGGAAGGCCTGCGTGGGGAGATGACCCGGGAGTGGGGACGGGTGGGGTGGGGGAGGAAGCCACGTGAGCGCAGGCAAGAATAGCATCGGAGGCAGAGTGGAGGGCAGGGGCCAAGGCAGGGGAGCCAGGACGGCCCGAGGGGCAGCTGGACGCTGTGTTCTCTGGACGCTCCTGGACAGCCCCACGCCCGATACATGCCCACGAGAAATGGGCTGCAGATAAAGGGGCTGCAGCCTCAGGCCCCTCTGCTCCCCGTTGGGCCCCCAGGGTAGGGCTGACTGCACCCAGGGCCAGGCTCCGGCAAGCACTGCCACTGCCGGGCCAAGGCCTGGAAGCCCAGGACCCAGGCAGGACCAGGTGGCTGCTGAGGCAGGTGGCATCCACCTTCTACCGCCTCCCCGGCCCAGGAACGGGGGGGACAGGAAGTCACAAGGCTGATACAGCCATTTCCCCTTCCCCTCTGGCCCCAGGAGGTCCTGGAGGGAAATGGTCCGCCTGGTCTGGCGCCTACAGCTGGGGTCTGGTGTCGAGGCTCATTGTTTGAGGCTGTGGCAGGGGCCACGGAAAGCCTCGGGACTGCCCTTCGTCCACCTACCGCAGACCCAGAGCCCTAAAGGCAGACTCGCAGTGGGCAGGACAGCGCCCAGCTGGATGGAGGCGCTCGGGGCTGTCCTTCTGACCCTCCTGCTGTGCCAGCAGCCAGGTTCGGGGACACGGGCCACCCTGGGGTGTCGGGGGAGGGGCACCCTGGCCCCCGTGGGCCTCCAAGGACTCCTCAGCTGGGGGACCAGGCAGGGGCCCACGCGGACCTCCAAGGACCCCTCAGCCGGGGGACCGGGCAGGGGCTTTGGGGGAAGGAGGGGAAGAGCTGGCGTGTCCAAGCCGAGAGGAAGGTGGCTGGGGCTGCCCTGGGACCCCAACACTGTGGGCCCAGGAGCTCCCCCCTCCCCGGGCCTGAGGTTGGGCTGACACAGCGTGGCAGTGCTCTGGAAGGACGAGAAGGGTGGCACAGACCCATGAAGCCCTGGCACGGGGCCCCGAGCATGTCCTCTGTACCCGGCAGCCGAGTGTACAGGGCACAGGCTGGCACAGGAGGATGAGGAGGACGTGAAGTCGGAAGGCTACGGCTACGATGACGACGATGAGGAAGAGGAGGAAGACGAGACCAACATGATCTTCAGCAGCAAGGACAGAGGTACCCCTCAACCCGGGCCCTCCCCCCGTCTTCCTCCTTTCCTGGCCCATCCCCCACCCCCAGCGTCAACCAGGGACCCAGGTCTGCCCCATCTTCAGCCTCCACCAGCTACTGCCGGCCCCCCACCTACGGGCTCCTCAGCCCTGTTCCAGGCCCCACGGGACGCCCAGGCCCAGGGCCGGCACCCGCACCGTGGACAGTGTCGCCATGAGTTAATTCAGGAGCAGAAGAACTCAAAGGTTCACCTGCTTGGTGCCCCATGACCCGTCCTATTCTGTCCTCCCAAAGGCCCCATCGAGGAGAGGCTTGGGGGGAGGCTGAGGGGTGTGGGGGTCCTGGGGCTGAGCTGGCCTCGCTGCCGCCGGCAGTGACCCTGGAGTGCTACACCTGCTTGCTGCTGAAGGACAGGGAGCGCTGCCAGGAGACGAAGCGCTGCTCCAGTGGCCAGACCTTCTGCACCACCATGGTCTCCCACGGCAGAACCGGTGAGTGAGCACACGCAGCCCGGCACGGGCACCGCACACCAGGCCAGGCACACCCGCCACCCGCGCTCCTGACCCCCACACCTGCTCTCCACCCCCAGACTCGGGTTTCCTGACCACCTACTCCATGTGGTGCACGGACTCCTGCCGACCCCTCACCAAGACGGTGGAGGGGACCCAGATGAACCAGACCTGCTGCCAGTCCACGCTGTGCAACGCCCCGCCCTGGCAGAGGCCCCCCAGCGGGGCAGGCAGCCCCCAGGGTGGCAGAACTGGCCAGCCCCAGGGTGGCCGTGCAGGTGGCCCTCGGGAAGATGGGCCTGGCAGTTCCCGGGGCAGTGGGGCACCAGGCTTCACAGGCTGCCCAAAAAGTATGGGCACAGCCCTCCTGCTCCCCCTCCTTGCCAGCCTTTGGACAGTGGAGGCCTAAGGGCCCTGCCACCCCTCCACCGGGGACCCCCTGTCCATGCCTCCCCTCCCCGCGACCGGCTCTGGAGAATAAACTTGGCGGTGTCTCACAGTCCAGCGCTGCCTCCTTGGCCGTCTCCCTCCTCAGTTTCCCCCTTCGGCTTCCTCGTGCGTCCTCTCTTCTCTGTTCACGAGCAGTAAGACAAGGGCCTGTGGGCCTCAGGTCCCCGCTGAGGCACCTGCGCCCCAGGACCTACAGCACCCCAGCACTAGAGCCCTGCAGAGCTGTTCCTCCAGCTGCCACACGAGCCACGCCCTGTCCTGTCCAGGTGTTGGACACAGGCCTTTGAGGGGAGGGACTTAGGAGGGAAGCCCAGCAGGCTGCAGTAGCTGGGACTGAAGGAGGGAACAGGAGGAAGGAGGGAGGGAGGGAGGGAGAAAGTAGGGGGAGGGAGGCCCTGGGCGAGGTAGAACTTCTCGTTCTGGGCCCAGGAATCCGTAGCCCTCCCTGGCCAGGATATCAGGGAGGAGGCTGGAAGGTGTGAGGGGCTGCGGGCGGGAGGAGCAGCTAGGAGCAGTGGCCCCTGGGATGCGGCTCTGAGAGGGTAAGGCCTGGCTCTGAGTTCAAGGAGTCCCCACCGGGGAGGAGAGCGGCCTTGCCTGGACAGTACCCAGCGGTCAGATGCGGCCCCTGGGACCCAGATTAGGCTCTAACAACTCAGCTTTTAGAACTCAGTTTTCACTCCGGCTAGCTAGGACTCAGAACCCTAGTCCTTAACTGATGATAAAATTTAGGGTCCTCAAGAATGGAATTTGGAGGGGGGAGGAGAGCTGAAGAAGGGCTCCATTAGTAGAGACCTGCCTACTAAGTTCAAACCCCAGTACCACAAGAAAGGAGGAATCCTTTGGAGGGGTAAGATGTGAAACAAGGTCTTGCTCTTTTTTCTTTCTTTCTTTCTTTGTCAGTCCTGGAGCTTGAACTCAGGGCCTGGGCACTGTCCCTGAGCTTCTTTTGCTCAAGGCTAGCACTCTACCACTTAAGCCACAGTGCCACTTCCAGCTTTTTCTGTTTATATGGTACTGAGGAATCAAATCCAGGGCTTCATGCATGCTAGGCGAGCACTCTACCACTGAGCCAACTTCCTAGCCTAGGTTTGGCTCTTGATGTAAGCAAGACCCAGAGTTCTATCCTCAGCACTGAATGAATGGAGTGGGAAAATAAATCAGGGCTGGGAAGGTGGCTCAGTGGTAGAACGCTTGCCTTGCATGCATGAGGCCCTGGATTTGATTCCTCAGCACCAGGAAAAAGAAAAAAAAGCCAGAAGTGGTGCTGTGGCTTAAGTGGTAGAGCGCTAGCCTTGAGGTGAAAAGCCGAGGGACAGCGCCCAGGTCCAGAGATCAGGCCCCACGACCGACATAAAAATAAATAAATGCATCTAAAATGGCAGCTTTGTCTGGCTCCCTTAGCAAGAATTCTGGGCATTGCTGCCTCCACAGCTCAGCCGTCCAGAAAGGAAGTTCACTTCCAGAAATGACCGGCAAAGGTCTGGCTGCACTTTGGGCATGGGAAGGCATCTGGTGAAGGGTCATCACCTCATTCAGAGCCCTTACTGCCTGTGATGGAGAGCCAGGGGAGGGCACAGGGGCACCAGTCTGGTCCCGGGGCCTCGGGGGAAGAGGGCCTTGAAGGCTGAGACCCCCGCTGAGCTCTGGCAGAGGCGTGAGAGGCAGCCCCAGAGCCCAGAGTCCTGTGCACACCTGGCTTAAGCAGCACACCCAGGTCCTGTGTGCACATGAGAGCATCTCCACAGGCTCTGGAGATGTCTGACCTCTGTCTCCCCAGCCTCTGTCCCTCCTGCCTCCTGCCCTGTCCCTGGCATCCCAGCCTTCCTCCTATGGTGTACAGTTGAGCTCTCTGCAGCTGAGTGGCATGAGTCAGGGCCCCAGAAGCTGCTGCCCAGCCCTTGGGGCCCAGCCCAGGCCCCCACCAGGCCCCGTGCCGCTGCCCAGCCCTTGGGGCCCAGCCCAGGCCCCCACCAGGCCCCGCCGCTGCCCAGCCCTTGGGGCCCAGCCCAGGCCCCCACCAGGCCCCGTGCCGCTGCCCAGCCCTTGGGGCCCAGCCCAGGCCCCCACCAGGCCCAGTGCCGCTGCCCAGCCCTTGGGGCCCAGCCCAGGCCCCCACCAGGCCCAGTGCCGGCCCCCAGTCCTGGGCCTTGCTGTACTCCTCCAACACTGCCTCAGTGGAGCCCCGGTTTTCCTGATTGCTGTGGGGGTGGCTGCTGGCCGGGCCCAGCATCAAGGCCCAGAGCTCTCCAGTCCTTCCCACGCTGCTTCCAGGTCCTGGGGACCACTCCAGCTGGCACCTGAAGCTCCACTCCAGAACTTCTGCCGTGGGGTCTCCTGGCCCCTCCCCAGCGTGCAAGTCCCTTAATAGTCTGGGAGTCCTGCCTCTTCAGGAAAGGGCTGGGCTTGGTCCAAGCATGACCTTCCTGGATGCTTGGGGGACAGCTCTGTGCACCCCTGCATTCCAGTCCCCCGTGGTAAGAGCATGAAGCTGTTCCACCATGGCCCCCAGCGGACTCGAGTGGCCAGGGCCCTCGGCCTGGGGCGGAAGGGGCCGAGTGGGCTGCTGTGAGCTGTCAGCACCAAGGCTGCCGTCAATTATCTGTCACTTCTGGTCTTGCTGTGGGGCCGGGCACAGCGTGAGAATACCAGCTGGAGAGATGGGGCTCAGCTCCCGTGGAGTCCAGCCCACGCGGGGTGCCATGATAAGGGACAGCAGGAGAGGGAAGGTCAGCCTAGGAGCTCACCAGCAACACGCTGTAGCTCCTTATTATGGGGGACGCTGTGACCTGCTGGCGGATGACGGGGTGGCCCGGCCGAGGTCCAGGCAGTCAGGAGGGTGCCCTGTCAGCCAATAGCCCTTCTTCCTTCTGCCCGGACCACAGGATGCCTCCCAGGGCCAGGGACCCCCAACCTGCTAAAGGGAGCCCCAGACTCCATTCCCCAGGCTCCCGAGAGAGGGGCTAGCCTGCAGGACAGGAAGCAGCCATCCCGGGGCGCCTCCTGCTCCCTGCCCTGGTTGGGGAGCCCGCAGAAGAGCAGGAACTTCCTGAGGAAGGAGACTCGTCATCCAAGGCCTCCAAGACCGCCAGGGTGTGCAGAAGCAGAGGGAGGCTGGGACAGCCTGGTAGTATTAGGGACAGACCTAGTGCCACCCCCCCACCGTCCCCCACTGCCCCCAGCATGCAGGGTCACCAAAGACAGGGTCACCACTGTCAGGACCTCTCCAGGACCAGCAGCTTGGAGCCATGCTGAGGATGCCCGCTCAGGCTGACCTATGCCGTGCATGTCAGAACCTGCCTGCTGAGAGGTGGGCAGGCGTGCGGGCAGGCAGGGCAGAAGTTTCCAGATGGCAGGGAGTTCCCAGTGGCAGAGACGCGGAGGAGAAGCGTGAGGCATGTGAGCAGAGCTCAGGGCTGCAGTCCCAAACCAGAAATCTCACACACAAGAGGAAGGGAAAGGTCCCAAGAGGGTGACCACTGCAAGATACAAGTCCCAGCTGCGAGGAAAGAAAGATAAGCCAAGGCCACACACCGTGGCCCACGTGGGGCAGGCCCAGCCTGCTGGGAACGGGCTCTGCTCTCATAACCCCAAGCTAACCCACAGCTCGCTGACTGCCTCCCCCGACCCGTTTCCTATCACAGCCCATCTACCGTCAGAAGAGGCACCAGAAATGAATCTCTGAGGATGGGCAGACAAAATCACCAAGGAAAAAACTAGCCACCCATCACCCTCCCAACTGGCCAAGAATAAAAACAAACACAAAAATAAACACAGCCACACCAAACAGTGCTGATGAGGATGGATGCAGGAACGCATCGGTCATTCACATGCTGCTGATGGAGAAAGGCACATGCGCTGTATGTGTGGCTGACTCTCATAAAACACAGCACACCCTGCCAGGTCCCAGCACCGCCACCCTGGGGCCCGGGGTGAAGAAGGCTACAGGCACACCAAGACCTGCATGGGGTGCATATCGGGACTTTTCTCTGTGATTGTCACAAACTGGAAACTAGGTGCAGTGGCTGAGATCAGGAAGATTGCAGCCCGGGGCCAACACAGACCCAAAACCTCCCAGCTCCACTTCAGTGAAAGAAGCTGAGTACAGAGGCACTCAAGAAACTAGAAGAGGGGGCTAGGAAGGTGGCTCAGTGGTAGAGTGCTTGCCTTGCGTGCCTCAGGCCCTGGGTTCGATTCCTCAGCACTACATAAGAAAAAAGAAAAAAGCTGGAAGTGGCGCTGTGGCTCAACTGGTAGAGTGCTAGCCTGGAGCTGAAGAGCTGAAGGACAGCACCCAGGCCCAGAGTTCAGGCCCCACAACCTGACCCCCCCCCAAAAAAAAACAACTAGAAGAAGCCGGGCGCCGGTGGCTCACGCCTGTAATCCTAGCTACTCAGGAGGCTGAGTTCTGAGGATCTTGGTTCAAAGCCAGCCTGGGCAGGAAAGTTGGTGAGACTCTTATCTCCAATAAACCACTAGAAAACCGGAAGTGGCACTGTGGCTCAAGTGGTAGAGCGCTCGCCTTGAGCTGAAGAGCTGAGGGA